CTGCACGCGTATTTCTTGCAATTCTGTTCTTGCTTGCAACTGAGCCTGCTCGAGCTTGAGTTCGGCTAACCGCTCTTTCGCCTCTAACTCCGCGAGGAGTCTCTTGCGTGAGGCTACGGAGCGGCGTGACCTAGTCTCGCCGGGCTTCAATGTGCACTGCGATCTTTGATCACCCTCTTGCTGGGTTTCTTCCGTTGCGGTTGTTCTATCGGTTGCCGAGGTAGCGGTCGTATCGCTGACCGTTGTGGTTTCGCTAGTGGTGTTTGTTGAACCACTAGCGGCTGAGTCGCCCCCGGAGGCCTCTTCTGTGGCCCCCTGGGTTGTTTGTTCATCCTTGCGACGCTTCGATGATTCTCCGTTGTTACTACGCGTAATCACCATTTTTCTTCACAATAATATTTTTTCGTTCTTGCGGTTTGCTTCTTTCTTCCGGCAATACCAAGACCGATATTGTCTTTTTCTTCTAGTAATCCGGCTTCTCGAAGGACCATTAATATTACGGATCGCCGTAATGCCGTGCGAAAAATGGAATAAAACGCGCTGGTCTTGCTTTTAACTGGAGGCAAGCGGCGGTGAGGAGGAACTTGTACTTTTTCTTTTCTTGCTGGTGCCTTTTCGGTGGCTGGAGAGCGACTGCTGACCCTAGCGGCCGGCCCGTCTTTTATATGATTTGGCCGCTGCTGGCCAGCGGACCCTTGCCTCACCCCCGCGCCTATCTTTATTTATTTAATAACCTTACAAACTAATAAACATAATTCACTATATAATATTCTTATAACTACTTGTTAGACTAGGGTGTACATATCAATATTTTTACTTATTTACAGGTTTACATTATAATTTTCAGCTGCTTTAGGCGGAGAATCCTTCCCCCCGCCTCAGCACTATAAATATAAAACGTCGTGGCGCGGTGCGCGTGGCTTCATTTGCTCCTCGGCCGCGTCACGATAACATGCTCTTTGGTTACACTACTACTATTTTTTTTATGTGCCTAACGGCCTAATATATTTATTATATAATAAAGTAAACATTTATTATATTTAACAATTATAGTTTTCATTAGAAGACTATGCTAACTCTCCCTGTTCATACGGTGCCTTTATTTGGGAGAGTTATTGCACAGTTACAACTCAACCTTAAACTTAGTTATAATACAATCATTATTTTTTATCGTTCGATACAAGTAATACAATTATTTACACAAATTATAATTTAAATTCAACATAAGGTTGCGCTAGTTCCGCCGTATAACCCTTGCTAGTTGTCGAACCAGAGGCGTGGCCTGATAATTACACCGTCGTCCTGGCTCCGCCCACCGCTCCTAGGTTGTTCAACTAGCGCCGGTTACAATAAGCATTTTCTTTCGTTTGTTTAATATTGTTGCGTCGTGCACAGTGATACTGCCATCTATCGTAAGCTATAAAGTTTTTATGGCATTTCCCAATTGCCTTTTGAAACACCCACATGATGAAATGGGGCAATGGGTTTTCTTGTGCCGTCACCGTACAGTTATGCTTTGTGTTACCAGGCATTTTACATACATAAATTGCATATGGACAAATATCCAGATCTGAAATAATTATTAGTAGGCCACATAAATACTTGTTCCACAATCAATTTTGTCTCATGCGTGAAAGCCTCTGCCCTACCAAACACTCAACAACAAAATTATCTTATAGACATTTTCATTTTATTTCAACATTACTCCAAATTGATTGGAAGGTAAACAGTATAAAATAATGCTTATCAATGTCCACTCTACTCAATAATATTGAACTGGGAAGATAAGAAACTAATTTATTGTTCTACATTTAGTATCTAGTATTTTCATTAAATAACAAAGGATATTTACTTTCACAAATATACTATATTTCTGTTTACTAAATACACTCATCGCCAATACTAAATCATATAATAATTATCTTTAAGGACCTATAGGTTCGTGGTGTTTTAGCATAAGATAAATTGCCCAACTCTTCCCATGAGGATGTAAGAATGTCTCATGTCTCTGTCCCATAAGAAATGTCTGTTTCTCCTTTTTTCCTTTTTGTGGTGGTTTGCTAAAATTCGCTAATGCCGTATTAAGTGGAAGATCAAAGCTTATGAGTTTAATTAAAATAAGAGTCTGTGATAATACAAGGATTTAGATTTCCTGATAGAATTTTGACAAATCTATCTGTTGAATTACCTAGACCAAACGACAAAGACTACTAATAAAATTCTAACACATGTTAGAATCTTATTAGTATGTTAAACGTGACAAGGATTTAAAGTTTCATGTTTTTAGTATTAAGGGGCTACTCCATGCGAACGACCTTGAGCATTTGGTGTGCCGCGCCGACTCGCTACAATATAATATCACGTAAGAAATATGTAAGGCGCCACCTACTGTAAGAACGTAGTATTTTTTCAACATCAATAAACTATTTTATGGAAATACACACAGCGTACAACGATAAATGTATCTCAAATTTTTTATTCGGTATATTAGTTGCATTATATTAGAGTTATGTATTCTCATATATTATCTAATTATGAAATTTTATAATTAATTATATATTAAAAATGAAGCATTGAAAATTGTGAGTTTAAAAGATACCTACTCACTATAGGTAAATAGATAGATAGCTCGCCTTTTGTACAAATATTTGGTGCAATAAAGAATAAATAAATAAATAGGATGTTTCGCAGAGTGAGAGTAATATAGAATGAGAGTCGTGGAGGCAGTTTACAAACATAAATTGCACAAGGACAAACATCCAGACCCGGAACAATTATTTGTAGGCCATACAAATACTTGTTCTGTGCGGGATTCGAACCCGCGGCCCCCAGTGCAGCAACTGATTGCTAAGCCAGTGCGCCACGGAGCCGTCGCCGGTTTATAGCAAAAGTGACCATACGTCCCGTTTTGAACGGGACTGTCCCTTTTCTCAGTCGCCTGTCCCATTGTCCCCAAACAAAGCTCCGGGACACAAAATTGTCCCGTAACTCGTTGGATGGAAGTATTCAAAGTCAACAATCTTCAACATAATTTTTTTTAATCGAATATATTTTATGTCTCCCTGGTACAAATGCTCCGGTAGAAAGAGTATTTTTTTTATTTTGAACAAATTGTGGACGTCTGAAAGAAACACTTACGGTTCTAGTTCTAAAGGCGATGTTGTTAACAAAAGTAACAATAAAAAAAACTTAAGCAGAATTTTATTCTTATTTAAAATTATCACCAACTTTATTAAAGCAAATTTAATCCACTGACAAATGTAATTAATAATTAAAAAAAAATATGTTGCATTTAATAATTACCGTCTATACCGAATATAATTTTATATTGAACACTAATTGTGTAAAGTTATAGTTTTTAGAGTGTAAATAAACCCATGTCCTGTTTTGAGTTAAAAATAAATGGTCAGTTTAGTCTTTTTAGTTAAATTTAGTTTTAAAAATTTTTAGATAGTAAAAAGTAGGTATATTAGTACCTACTTAGATACTTTTTACCGAATTATAAGTATAGAACACCTTATGTACTCAATTATTTTTTGAAAAAGAAGAAAAAACAAGCAATAAATAATATACTATATTTTAGCAAAAAACTATAACTTAGTAATACTAATTATAACTTAGAACATAAATGAAAAACTCATAACTGACTTTTTGGCCCGACCCAGGATTCGAACCCGGGACCTCATGATCAGCAGTCGCACTACTACAACCACTAGACCAACGAGGCAGTACTATATCTAATAAGTTGTGGTTGGGTGATAATATTGAATTAGCCTTTTATAGTGTAAATTATAATATTTGTCGAAATTTTAATTATGGATTCGAACCTCACATGCTAATGGTGCTTCATTTTTTTATTTGCATTTACTTCAAAGAAAATACACGCAAAAAGCTTCATCGCGCAGTAAAAAACACAACAAATATATGTATAAGTAATACGAAAAATTATACCCAAAACAAACAAATAATACTACCTATAAATAACCTAATAAGTAATAATATTATAATATTACGCGCGTGCGCGCTGGCAGACGCTCTAACGACACGGGCTTCACGTCGAAGAGCTCAGGGCTCACTGACTCCAAGAAGCCCGTGGGCAGTAAATACGCCCAGATTTTAAAATAATTTCTTAATAAAATCAAATTTTGGACTTTTGAAAAAAATTTTACTATAGAAATGTTCATTAATAAATTGCCTATCTATTGGTGTAAATCGCAAAATAAAATAATACTTACTTTAGGAGGAGATTCATGTTATCAATAATAATTTCACATTTATGTGGTTTCGTTGTAAGGAGATTATATTAATATTTATTCCTTTAAAAAAAAATTGGATATAGCTTTTATGGAATCAAGATTATGTAGAAATATAATGTGTTTTTTATTTGTTGATATATCTTTTAAATAAAAAGTAGATAGCTCCTAAAAATCGCACAAATAACGACTAGCGCGACATTTTGCTCAACCTGCGCCTTAATAAAATCACATAAAATATACACAAAAGTAGTACTTGTATATGTTAAAAGAGAATTAAAATCTATAGGTCGAGGAATACAAGGGGGAAGGTAATCATAAAGGGAGGCGGATAGTATGGGACAGTTGAAAAAAATATGCTTTGTGAAACCTTCATCTAAGCTACATTCACACAAAGAGCTATCCCTAACTCTGATTTTGGCCAAATGTACATGTGTACAAACATGTCCAATTCTCAATCTACAGCTGATTGAAGCTGCATGTTTATTTGCTTTGTTAAATTTAAAAAACCAAGGCTTGGGAGGAATAACCTCTTGGATGGCAGCATAGTGCTTACCCTTAAAATTTTTGGATACTTCCCATAATTTATTCCAATTTTCATTCAGTTTTCTTTTAGCTAGCAAAATTAGGCATATGTACAGTAATTTCCAATAATGTGTTAGTCCCAGCCTTAATGTATGGTAGTGAAAGTTGGGTAGGCAGAACACATATAAAACATACAACAAAGAAATAATTGTGATAACTAACCTGCGCGCTAAATAAACATAGCATGTGATGTCAGAGAGCGCATCTGATACATGGTGAGGTATTTGACCGTTGGCACTTGTAACATCATACGTCATGTCCAGCTGTCTATCACCTTTGTTCAGTCTATACTTTGATTTGCTCAGATCTCTCCAGTTTCTGCCTAGACAGAATAAAGTAGGTATACATTTGTTATAATACTTTAGAATCATATCATCATTGCTAAAATAAAAAAGTGATTTAATATTTTTATTATTAGATAGATAGATACTCACACCTACTTATTCAGCAAATGAAAATGTGCTATTGCCAAAACTTGAACAAAACAATGGTGGTAATGTCATTACCTCTGTTCAATATCAAAATCACATAATGAAATTAACACCACAAATTCAGAGAAACTTTGACCACAATATGTCACAATATATAAATCTTAGATTAATTTCAGAATGCTTTGTAGTAATGAATTGAATATTACTTTAAAATATTCCACAATACTTTGGCTATAAAGTCTTAGATGTAATTTGTTATCAATTACAGCCTAAAATGGTTTACTGCTGAATACAAAGTACAAAGGTCACAAATTGTCTGCAATTGTATTATTTACCTAAGAAATAATGTCAAATTTTATACCTTTGTGAAGAGGAAATAAAAATGATTTATTATTATTATTATATAGGATATAGGCCTCTTTCATAGATTGCCTATAAGCGCATATTTGGCCATAGTTGGCATGCTTGTCAGGTGGGTTGGCAACTGCAGATTTTTATTATTTTGAGTTAATATCAGGAAGTTGCTGCTGCCCATTTCTTTTTTCAGTTTCACTCTGTTGCCTCTTACAACACTCATGGGACGACATGGGATATTGGATATTATTACACTGCCACTACATGGTTAAATGTTACTATACTTACAATTAATATATAACATTATGTGTATGTACTTAAGGGACCGTTCAAGTATTACGTAACGCAGTTTTAGAAGATTTTTGACCCTCCCACCCCCCTATGTAACGCGCCGTAACGTTTATCTAGACCCCCCCCCTCCCCCCTAAACGTTACGTAACACCCAAGTGACCATTTTTACCTAAAAGTCACAATTACTTTGCGCAAATTACCGGAAAGTCGCTAAAATAACTTTGTTATTGTTTTAATCGCGTTTGCGGTAATAATAAATAAAACGAGATTTCTTCCTCGCAATACATTGTTGATTGTTTATTTTATTTATTCATATTGTTATTTAATAAACAATCACACAATATAATAATAAACATTTGCTTAAGTTTAAAATATATTAAAATGGGCTCAAATCAGTCCTAATAAACTTTTACTACTAACCTTAGATTTAATTACGCCGTTTTTTTAACTTGGCCTTTTCCTTACATACATTTTATTATATAAACTCTTAAAATAAAATAACATATTTATTTTTACCTTTGGCAATGCAATGTAAAAAACAAACAAAAACTTGTGTCGGAAGTCGAGTCTTTGCTGAACAAAGTCTCGGATTGGAGGCGACTAAATCTAGTCCAGTTTATTCCCCAGAAGACATAAGTTTGCGGTTTACCGCTAAAAAGAACCCCTTGTCGTATCTCCTCAGTTTCAAGGTACCTTACCAAGGTACCCTTGCTACCTCAGCTAGCATCGGAATCCTCGGCGTTGACATATCGAATAAAGTGCAGTTTCGTGGTCACTTGGAGGGGAGGGCCAAATTGGCTTCTAAAAAGCTAGGTGTGCTCAACAAAGCGAGACTGTATTTTATGCCGGCACATCGCTTGCAATTTTACAAAGCGCAAGTCCGGACTCACATGGAATACTGTTCTCATCTCTGGGTCGGGGCACCCCAGTGCCAGCTCCTTCCACTTGACCGCATCCAGCGCAGAGCGATTCGAATTGTCGACGACCGAGTTCTTTCTGATACACTGGCACTACTTAGGGATGTTGCATCCCTTTGCATTTTCTATCGAATTTACCACGGGAAGTGCTCTGAGGAATCGTTGCATTAATTCCAGCCGCCAAATTTCACGAGCGCACTTCGCGTAAAAATTCACGGTACCATCCTCACCATCTTGATGCTTGGCGGTCTACGACTGTGCGTTTTCTTCCTCGTACAACTTCTCTGTGGAATTGTTTATCATCGGCGATTTTTTCCGGACCGATACGACTTAGGGACCTTCAAGAAAAGAGCTTACATCTTTCGAAAAGGCCGTCAATGCCCCTGGTGTTGCGGTTGTTCATGGGCGGCGGTAGTCACTTACCATCAGGTGAGCCGCATGCTCGGTTGCTATTCTATATAAAAAAAAAAAAATTATGCGGCGGGATGACGCCTGACAGTCGTTTGCTGAGGGGAACCATGCGCCGCTCTACTCGGTTGTATACGCTCCGCCCAGGAGCATTAGTCGTTATGAACAGGACGACAAAGTTGTATTTAGTGAAGTGTTGAATGGCAAAGTTCTTGACTTGTCGGCCCGCTCGCGTATGTACAGTGTACACGCACCCGTTTTTGTTGAAGAGTACGCGAAGCCGTTGGGACATTAGGCCTTGCTGACAATAGTGTTGTTGGCATGCTTGATGTTTGGATAGATAGCTAAAAATATATAATACTTATGATCAGTTCTTTTACGAAATATCTAGGTTTGGCTTATATATCATATACCTACCTAGAATACGTAATATAATATATTATATTTTAGCAGTAAACATACTTGTGTAAAATAACTAAGCATTGTTGCTTTCTTCTTCGTGGCCTTCACCTTGAACTCTCGTATAACATCATTTATATGTTCTATAAACTTTGTTATCCAAATTTCGTTGGCATTCTTTTGGCACAGTTGTACTGGCAAGTCAGCATGAGAGCCTTTATGTGCCAAGAAAAGCCAATGATGCAAATCTTCCTATTTTGAGGATATTACAGTATGAACTCACTTGTAACAACTCTGACTACAGCAATGTGCTTCTGCGTAAGATGAATACTGATAACGAAAACAAAATAAAAATGACGTACAATACAGTCGAGGGATTCCCCGTAAAACAAACAAAAAAGATTACAAACTTGGGAGGACAAAATAAAAATGATGTACCATACAATCGAGGGATTCTCCATAAAACATAAACGAAAAGAGTTGCTAACTTGGGAGATTTTAATTCCCTTGTTTTTTAAAATAAAAAAAAAATGTTACGTAACGCGTTGGTCGAACCCCCCTCCCGCCCCTGTAACGCATCGTAACGTTTTACAAGACCCCCCCTCCCCCCAATTTGCGTTACGTAATACTTGAACGCCCCCTAACTGCTGACCTATGCAGCTATTTCTTAACGAAAATTAACGAAAGCAGTTGTTTAGTATAAAACCATTTATTTAACAACACTGCTGTATAAATAATAACATCTGAAAGTCTTGATACTTTATTGTGTAATATTTATAATTATAAAATATAAAAAAATTCTATACGTGGTAGAGCCATGCTGCAGCTATATTAGTAGTATAGTTGTAGCACGAATGGGTTGGTTCGACCAGGGAAGGCCCACGCTTTCACAGAATACCAGCGTAAAATGGCAGCTTGACACTGCTGTGTTTTGTATGGTGAATGTAGAGAACCGGAGACCCTTTTTATTGGAAAAGAGGCAATCCACCTTAGTCCTCATGGGTGATGACACGTCTGCATTTTGATTCTTTATTGAGGATAAATGTAGATGTCTATGGATCACAGCAACCACTTACCATCAGGGGATGGACTGTGTGCTCGTTTGTCACCCTATCCTATAAAAAAAAAATAGTTAAGCTTACCACATCTTGAAGTGAAATCCGTAACCCAAGGAACCATAAAATGAGCTTGTGGATCATTAGCACTTCTCCCTGCTAAAATGTTTAGATGCAAAAGATAATCCAAGTTTGAAATTTTCCCTCTCATCCATAGCAAACACAATTTTTCTAATTGCACCGCTTCTTTGTGCCAACTTAATTCATCACTTTGATTTGTACATGCAATGTGATTTGTGGCTACTATATTTTGCTTATTTCTATTGTATTCATAAATAAGAGAAGTGTCTAAGGCATGTATATTATTAATTATTGGTGGTATCACTTGTAACCATAGATTCTCAGACAAGTAAATGTCTTGAAGTTTAAGCACTCCTAAGCTTAGGCCTCTGTCGCACATAGCTTTTGAAACATTAAGTAACTGATACACAATAAACAGCCCACGGGCATAAGTTTTATCAATTAAATTAGGACTGAAATTAAGACAGTCTAACAAATGATTTTCATAATGTCCTCTGTACAGTATAAAATAATTATTGTCAGTTTCCAATGTGACCATGGCAGATAACAAATTTACGTGTGGCTCATAGGATTTTAAAATTTGTTTATTAGTTATCACATCTTTGTACTCATTGAATTTGGTGTCATTCCTTACCCTAATAATATTACAGCCATATAATCTCAATATCACTTCAGACAATAATTGATCGTGTTCTAGAAGATTAACTAAAGTGGTCTCTTTACTGTTTTCATTATTTTGACAATATTTTTTAAAAGACTCTTTCCATAAATTTCTTTGATTTGTTTGAGATATGCACTGAAGCAACTGGGAAAAGGTAAGAGGCGATTCTACATTGCTCTCATTTAGTTTATACCTTGGTAGTGGCAAAACCTTGGAACATTTTTTATTTATTACCTGCAACAATATCGCATAATTTAAACTTATATTTTTAAGACAATGTTAAATACCACACACAATAAATAATGCATACCCTTATAAATATTTTTCGCCATGGATAAGGAACACTTTCACCTGGTTGCAAAGGAATATCAGTGTTATTCACGGAGTTATCGACTTCCAAGTTTTTTAACCACTTTTTTAACCAGTTGCTATGTACAATCACAGCAAAAAGATTTGTTGAATTGGTGGGGAATACATTTTTGCTGTTAATATCTAAATCTTTGATTATGCTATCCATATCTTAATTTATTTAGTGAAAAGTTTCTTGGCGTAAAGCGTAAACCTTTGTTTTGTTTTTCAATTTTCAAGTGTCACTGTCACATAGGCATGAGACCGATATATCAAAACGTAACTAATAACGTTATGTTATCAAATATCATATCATATCGATAAACCTAAGTACATAACCGTTATCACATATCTAACCAAAACCAACTAACCAACGTACGAAACGTAAAACGCAGAACGCAAACTGTAACGAGACACCAACACGGCCCAAAACCATCAAAACTAACCGATGTCCTTTGATATTCGTTGTTTCTCGTTCTAGCGACGGTATCATAAATACGTATGAAAGAGATGAAGCGAATATGGATTTTGTTGCGATGTTTTCGTAGTTATCATAAAACGGTGCGCGTAGTGAAATATAATTAGTACGTTTAACAATAAGGTCGAATTTTAAATGGTTAAAATTGCCTAATTTTTAAGTTTGTGTAGTTGTGATTTGCTAAATTTAAATGATCTTTAGGTCAATAGACACAAGGCTTCGATTTTTATGACCTTATTATATTTGGTTCAGGCAACTGTTTGTTTATATTTTTTATGTTTTGGTTGGAAAGTTTAGAATTTGAATTTTTTTCAAAACGCAACAATTACGCACTTGGCCATGCGGGCGCGTGTCGTTCACTAGGATAATAATATCTTTAAAATTATTAATATTCAACGTTGGGTTTGTGCACTTATTTGCAATATTTGTGTGTATTTTGTAAGTAGTTTTAATTCAGACAATTAGGTGTAAAGTGAAAATATAGCATAGTATAGTTTAAGTTGATTTAGAATCTTTTAATCATTTTTATAAATAGACTTTCAAAATGTCACGTAAGGCTAGTGAAATATGGTCTCATTTTGATAAAAAAGACAACTCCGTGTACCTTGCTGTTTGTAAATATTGTCAATTAACATTGTCGTATAAATCTACTACAGGCAACTTAAGTTCTCATTTAAAGAGATCGCATACTTCAATTTATTTGGCGCAAAGAACCACTACTTCAGGAACTGTTAATGAACCTACACATCAAACGACGACTATTGAACAAAATTTGGTACTTCCGAGTACATCTGCAATGGAGTACATCTGGGAATGCATCGGAACCGACTATATCTTCCACCGCAGCCAAATCAGCGGCTAGTACAGATCAGGTAAACCTGCGGTTAATAGAGTTGCCTCAAGTGTCACGCAAAAGGCAAAAAACAATGCAGAACTATATTATTAAAAAATGACTCCAGATGAAAAAAAAAGAGTTGATCGTGATCTATTGGAATTATTTATTACCGACTATCAGCCCTTTCGATTAGTAGAAGATAAATTCAAAAATTTTGTCAAGCATATTCCCGGGTACACGTTGCCCAGTAGGAAGACAATTTCCTCTGGTATGATTCCAGCTTTGTATCAACAAACATTAAGCAGCGTCAGAGAAATAGTTTCTAGGGACGCAAAGTCAGTGTGCTTGACAACAGACCTTTGGACCTCGTCACAGACCGAAAGTTATATTGGCGTAACAGCGCACTATATTGATGACAATTTTGAGCCCCAAAAAATACTGCTAGGGTGCAAAAGCTTTAATGAAAGCCATACTAGCGCTAATCTAACGAAAGCGTTAAAAAATGTGACTGATGAGTGGAATTTGACTAAAAAGGTTAATTTCGCTATTTCAGATAACGCTAGAAATATTGTAAAAGCAATTGAAACCGATTTAGGATGGAAACATTACGGGTGTTTTGCACATTCACTCAATTTAATAGTTCAGTCGGCACTAAGGCCAATAGAACAATTAGTTGAAAATATTAAAAAAATAGTGGCTCACTTTAAACGAAGCACTACTGCTACTGATATGCTTCTTGGATATCAATTGAAAAACATGACGGAATGTGGTGAACCGAAACGTTTAATTCAGCAAGTGCCAACAAGATGGAACTCCACATTTTTCATGTTACGCCGATTCCTTTTACTACAAGAGGCGTTGAAACACTGCATGGCCCTTATTGAGAGAGACTGGCCTAATATTAACACAATGGAATGGGAGTTAATGGGGGAAGTGTGTACAGTCTTACAGCCTTTTGAAGAAGTCACTTCTTCTATCAGCGGTGATGAATATCTGACAGGAAGTATGGTCATAGTCATGACAAACTGTCTCACAGAAATATGTGATGATTTTCTAAACAAAGAAGAGTTCGCGCTATTTAATCCCACAACAAAGGAAATCGTCACTTCTTTAAAAAATGGATTGAAAGAAAGATTTGTTGGCGTAGAGCACAGTAAAACTTTTGGGCTCTGTACTTTGTTAGACCCACGATTTAAATTATTACTTTTTAAAAATGAATACGCAGTGACAGATTTAAAACGACATGTGCAGTCATTAATAATAGGCATGATAACACGGGATTCGTCCACAGACAGTACAACTCAAGTTGAAGAAAGAAGTTCTTCAGTTGTTAGTGCGTGGAATAAATTTGACGACTTACTGAAGAAAAGTAAGCCTCAGGGCAACGCTCTAGCGAGGGCTATAAGAGAATTGCAAATGTATATAGATGATGAGATACTGCCGAGAAAAAATTTGGAAGGCAAATGGAACAGTCCATCGAAGTGGTGGCGAGACCATAGAATAATTTACCCACATTTGTCCGAAATGTTCCGCATGAAGTGCAACATTGTGGCGACGTCAGTTCCTTGTGAACGATTATTTTCTAAAACAGGGTTGATCATCAACGAAAAAAGGTGTCGTCTCAAGCCCCACAAAGTTGAGGAAATTACATTTTTAAATGAAAATCTGGATAAGAAACGATTTGATAAATAAGAAAATTGAAAAGTAAAAATAAAAAAAATATAAAAGGAAAAAAGTATGTATACCTACGCCTGTAAATATTTTTACACCTTGTGTAATCATTTGTAATTTGTAAATACGGTGATTTTTAAATGCGCCAGTAAAGTTTTATTTTTTATGTACCTCTTGTACCCACTATGTTATTGTGCAAGAGGCGTTGCCTATTTTGTATTTTGTGGAATTCGAATTTAAAACTTTTCTGCTAGTCCTAAGCCTAGTTAAGCATGAAGGAAAATCGCCAATTAAATAAATAATAATCATTAATAAATAAACTACCTAAAATAATTTCCTAATATATACATAAAATTATGTTTACTTCTTATGAATACAGTTTAATTATAGACTTTGAAATCAAACTCTGATCCAACGTCTCACTTTAAAAAAAGTGATAAAATCAATGATATATATATATATAGTAAATATACATTTGTAATATATATGTATATAATTTATTGTACTGTGTAGTGGCGGTGGAAGAATATCCACTACCCCATATCATCCCGTGTTTGTCGTAAAAGGTAACAGAAGGAAACAAACGAGGAGATGGCTAGCAACGTCTTCCAGATAAAGCCAAAAAATATAAAATAAAACAGTGTGTAGGTACTTAGCGGTTAAAAACAGTGTGTCGTGAAAACACACGATGTAAGTGAAACTTTAGTATTACAGGGAAACATTTCAATTATTCATTTTAATAGCATAAATTGTGTATGTGTATATCATTCATTTATTTACATAAAAATATATACATCACAGTATATATTTTTATATGGGAGCAGTGGTAGCTCCGATGGTTAGCGCTCACTGTAAGTTTCACAGTACGCGAGCAACCCGGGTTCGATCCCCGCCGGCACTAATGAAATTGTTAATTGCAATTTTAAGTGCTGATTTACCACGTGCTCGGCGGTGAAGGAAAACATCGTGAGGAAACCTGCATGTTTGAGAAATAAAAAAAATATATATCTTCAAGACATGTAAAGTTCGCCAACACGCATTGGGGCAGCGTGGCGGACAGTTCCTTGTTCTAAAACCCTCTCAGAAATTAGAGGAGGCCTGTGCCCAGCAGTAAGACGTATATAGGCTGCAACTTTGCTTTTTTCTTATATATATCACAGTGCATCATCTTCTTCGATCTTAAATTGAGAAATTACTGGTTTAAGTTGTTAATTAAGTAATTATCTATCTAAGTTTATTTTAATTAAACCAAAGTTTTATATAATATGAACAAAAATTAATTTGAATTAAAATTTACAAATTGTTATTTTAAATAAACTAAATAATGAAATTTAGCGGCTCTGTGGCGCAGTAGCTTAGCGATTGAATTGCAACACTAAAAATCGCGGGTTCGAATCCCGCACGGAACAAGTATTTGTATAGCCTACAAATAATTGTTTCGGGTCTGGATGTTTGTCCTTGTGCAATTTATGTATGTAAACTGCCCCAACAATACAGGAGAAAATTCTAGTGTAGAGGTTACACTAGAATTTTCTCCTAAAAAAATACGAAATTTTATTTTGGTTTATGCCATCTAGCATCTACTCTACGTACCGCCTTGAGAGTCAAACAATTTTTGTTCGATAAAATTACTTCACCTATGGAATGTACTAGATGGCGCTATTACTCAAATGCGATCACTCTTTCTAAATTAAATACTTGTACCTTGGTAACTGTTTTAAATAAAATTAATATAAGATTAGTATTTGAACGAAATATCGTTGTGTAATTGTATTACTATATACTTTATGGTATGTAATGGCCTGCGTTTGCGATTTGAACGATCGACCGAATGACCCGGTACGTAATGTTTACCCTCACCACTTTTCGTCACACTAAAAGGTCAGAATTTCAAAGACCTCCCGTAAAAGCTTCCACTTCAAAAACTGTAGTTGCTAACAAGCTTGCCAAACGTGGAAACTATGGCAAATATTCCCCCTATGATGCAATCTATGAGTATAATATCTCCTTATGTTCAGCAGTGGACTTTAATAGGCTGTAACGGTAACGGTATAATTTATTACTGCATAACAATGAATTTACAGAAATTATATATTAACATGATGTCTAAATATTACATCTAAGATAATATTATAATTTATAACCTCTGAGATCTAAACTAAAATAATCTAAGTAATTCGTAAAATAAATGTTGCACTGGTTCTACAGTTTGCGGTTATGTTTTGGTTGTCGTTTGCGCATTCAGTAGGAAAACATTACTACTGATATCGATATTTGAAAACGGTTTTCAATAACGATATGAAAACTAAATATCGGTTATGTAACCGTTGCAGCTATAAACTGAAAACGCCCATGCTTACGTGTCACAGCCGCAGTGTAACCAGATGGAATTTTATGAAAATACCGAGACACCTCAAAAACAATACTCCATCATCATACCATTCATCATCGTCACAATAAATGTTAGAATTGTATTTTAATTAAATGAAACTAAGTTTTACGGATTTTATCGCGTTTTATTTAACTTTTTAACTGATTTAACTTACATTTGGCTGTCTTTTATATTAATAAAGTTCGATTTATGCTTTTCAGTATTTGCATGTTGTTTTATAGATGCTAATCTATTTTTAAGTTTCGCTTTTGCAAGAGGCTGTGAATCCTTTATCTTTAAAACGTGAAAGCCACCACAGAGTTCTTTATTATACACGAGAAAGCCACGAAAAAATCCTTTATTTGTTTCCAATTTTTCAAAAAATTTTGCTGAAAACTAAGAAAATACGCGCTCATTTATATGATGATAAAAACGTACTATTAATTTACCTATTCATACAACTGAAAACTTAAAATCGAGACTTTGTTTTGAAAATAATCGATTATTTATTGTATAGTTTAATAATCCTACAACGGCGGCCGATTTTCATGTTCTATCTGAAACTTACTGATATTTGCTCGTAAATAAAATGTAAACTTAATTGGAGAAATTCCCCAAACATTAATGTTTGCAACTTTCGCGAAGACAATCGCTACGGTGTTACCATAACTTCTAATCCAAAATTTACCCAAAAATACTGGCTTCTGGCAATATACCTACAAAAATACTGATGTTAGGAAATCTATAAAACATACCGTAAAAGTATCAAAATATTTAATTTGGCCACACTGTCACAGAGAAGAAATAGGTATTGACGTTACCCATAGACCACAGAACTACATAGAGCAGAATTATTAACCACAGACTTAGAATATACTTGCTAGTGTTTCTATATAGTTTGTGATACTTGCGTATAGACTACCTGCAGCCAAAAAACGCGTGACTAATTTTGATTTGTCATTGTGTGCGTTAGGTAGTAACGTACATTTTACGTAAAAGGACTATCGAAAAATGATTGTTAAGGAAGCGGTAAAAAGATTTAAAAAAATTGTTTAGTGCACGAAATTGAATAACTTCAAAAATTAACTGAATTTTTACCATGATAGTTATAAAATATTTAAAAATATTCAAATAACAAGTTCCTGGGAATAAGCTGAACCTACCTGCCTTTTCTTGGATTTTAATTCCAATGTAAAAAATCCCAGGTCACTCTACCGATAAACTTAAAAAAAAAACTCACCAAGAACCAGATTGGAAAGCTGTATATTCGAGTTTTTTTTTATAGGAGAGGGGGCAAACGAGCATGTGGCTCACCTGATGGTAAGTGACTACCGCCGCCCATGAACAACTGCAACACCAGGGAGGGAATTGCAGATGCGTTACCGGCCTTTTAAAAAGGAGTACGCTCTTTTCTTGAAGGTCCCTAAGTCGTATCGGTCCAGAAAAATCGCTGATGGTAATCGATTCCACAAGGAAGTCGTGCGAGGAAGAAAACATCTTCTAAATCGCACAGTGGTGGACCGCCAATCATCCAGATGGTGTGGATGGTATCGGGAGTTCTGCCGCGATGTGCGTTCGTGAAATTTGGCAGCTGGGATTAATCCGAACAATTCCTCAGAGCACTCCCCATGGTAGATGCGAAAGAAAATGCAAAGGGAAGCAACATCTCTTCGCAGTGCCAATGAATCGAGCCGATCGGAAAGGGCTCGGTCGTCGACGATTCGAGCTGCTCTGCGCTGGATGCGGTCAAGTGGAAGGAGCTGGCACTGGGGAGCCCCTGCCCAGAGATGGGAACAGTATTCCATGTGAGGCCGAACCTGCGCCTTGTAAAGTTGCAGGCTGTGTGCCGGCATGAAATACTGTCCCGCTCTGCTGAGCACGCCAAGCTTTTTAGAGGCCAATTTGGCCTTCTCTTCCAAGTGACCACGAAACTGCACGTCACTCGATATATCGACTCCGAGGATACCGATACTGGCTGAGGCAAGAAGGGGAGTGCCTTGAAACTGAGGAGATACGACAAAGGGGTTCTTTTTAGCGGTAAACGCGCAAACTTGTGTCTTCTGAGGATTAAACTGGACTAGATTTAGTCGCCCTCAATGCGAGACTTTTTCCAGCAAAGACTCGACTTCAGACACAAGTTTGTTCCGGTACTCGGTGACGTTTTCCCGAGAAATATTGGCACGGCCGGTGTATAGAGCATCACCAGTGCTGTCATCCGCATAGCAATGAATGTTACCAGTTAGCAACATACCATAGATATGCAGAAGAAACAGCGTTGGTGATAGCACACAGCCTTGTGGAACACCAGCGTTAATAGGCTTGTAGTCAGAACATGCACCGTCTACAACGACCTTGATGCTCCAATCTGCAAGGAAGCTGGTGATCCAATTGCACAATTTCTCGGGAAGCCCATAGAAAGGGAGCTTCGAAAGAAGCGCTTTGTACCAAACCCGATCGAAGGCCTTCGCAGTGTTCAGACTAACGGCCAACGCCTCCCCCTTGGACTCTACTGCCTTCGCCCATCTATGGGTCAGGTAGACCAGAAGATCACCAGCTGATCGACCCCGACGAAAACAGTATTGGCGGTCACTAATCAGCTGGTGATCCTCAAGTTACCGGATGAGCTGGCAGTTAATAATGGATTCGATTA